GAGAGACCAAAATGGGGTTGCCATGGAGACACAGCTGAAGTCACCCACAAGGACAGTGTGGCTGGAAAAGCGAAGACACAGGACCCTGTCCAAGAATGGGCCGCTCTTTGGGCCACTACAATGCTCCTTCCTCTTAACCCCAAAGGCTTCCAGAGCCTGAGCAGGGAGCTCTGACCAACATCCAAGAGCCCAGGGCCTTCAGCCTGGCCACAGGGGAATCATCATTAGAGCCCCTAAGCCCCCATCATATGTATGCTCCTTGAGAACACCCATCCAGCCAATGGTAGAAGGGAAGGGAGGGAGCATGTATAGGGACAAAGGCCTCTCTCAGGGCCACAGGAAAACTTCCCCTTTCCCCACATCCACCACAAAGAGGGTGCCTGCAGGAGACCCTCTGGGGACTCACTAAAATGTTCCTGGATTCTGTTCAGGATGTTCATGCTGTGCTTGCTGTCAACCATGTTCACAGCCAGGCCTCTCTTGCCAAAGCGGCCAGTGCGCCCAATCCGGTGCAGGTAGGTCTCATTATCTGGGTTCCCGTCCTTGTCCACAGGAAGATCGAAGTTGATGACCACAGACACTTGTTCAACATCGATGCCTGCACAAAGGAGGGACACWGAGGWGTCAGGGCCAAAGACATGGTCAACCATGCACCCACTCTGGTGGAGGGAGAGTCTGCAGCAGGTCACCTCTGGGGTGCAGGCACAAGAGAGGATACATATTACTCTATGTACCAGAACCTTGCAGATACTAAAACCATGAAACCACAAAGCAAGTCTTTGCTACACACGCAAGAGAGTCTGAAGACACAGCCACAGCCAAACACCTAGAGATGCCCTGGAAAGAGCTGACTCTGTTTTGAGTGTCTCCTTATACCTGGGCATGACTCTTGGCTTCTATAAATTCCCATCACCCAAGGGAAATCCCATCTCTCCTGAAAAGGATTATCCCCGCCAACCCCAGAGGGCTCCTAGAGACCATCCAAGTCTCCTGGATGTAAGGACTTCTCTCGCTAACAGGGCTGGATGCCTGAGCCTAGGATTCCAGGACAGTCTCTGCTTACCACGAGCACACACATTGGTGGTCACCAGAACCTTCTCTTTGCCCTCTCGGAAGCGCTCAATCACAGCAGCCCTCTGCTCCACCATCATTTCTCCACTCAGCAGAGCCACTTGGTGGCCTTCTTTTGAGAGCTCTGCTGCCAACCAACTAGCTGTTTTTCGGGTCTGGAAGGAAAAATAATTGTTTAAACTGAAATGGCTTACTGCCATTAAAAACACAGAAGCCCTGATGAGAGTGAGCAGAAACAGCATGATYCTGTTTTCCATACTTTTATTGACGCAGTCTAATTATACATAATAGTGGGATTCATTGTTATATATTCCTACATGCCCGTGATATAACAATTTGGTCCATTGTATAATTTTGGGGGGATGATTTTTTTTTGTGTACTGGGAATTGAACCCAGGGCCTCACAACTGGCTAGAAAAGTGCTCTATCACTGAGCTATGTCCCCAGCCCTTTATAATTTAAATAAACAAATAAATAAATTTCCCAGACTGGTCTGTGATTTGTGATCCTCTCCTGCCTCAGGTTCTAAATTAGCTGGGATTACAGGTGTGCACCATGGCACTTTTATTTTTTCATCCAGGGAGAGTGTGGATTGAGCCAAAGATCTTCATTTCTAAACAGTCGATATCCTTAATGTTTAGTTATTTCATCAGATTTTATTTGGGTTTTTTTTCAAACAACTTCTAAGAAGTAGGATCAAAGAAGATTCAGCCGTTCACAAAGTCTTCCCCTTAGAATTCAAGAACCTGAGGAGACTATGTCTGGGGGATGGTACAGGTGTTTGTTATATCCTTCCTTTTCAATTTCAGTGTGAACCAGGTCCTCCTCAGCACAAAGATGTAGCTGGCTGGGAAGGAGGCGGGGCAGCCCTGCGGGTGCTACTCACATGGCAGAAGATCATGGCTTGTGCGATGGTGATGGCCCCATACAAGTTGCACAAGGCCTGGAACTTCTCATCTCTGTTATTGCACAGGACATAGTACTGCTTGATGGTGTCCAACGTCTCCTCCTCACGCTTCAGTTTGATAATGTTGGGGTCTGGGACCACTTTCTGGGCAAACTTCCACACAGAGTCTTCAAAGGTGGCAGAGAAAAGCAACATCTGGCAGTTCTTGGGTAGCATCCTGCAAGGTGAGGCCCATGCACTTTACATGACCCCAAGATTTTCATTGGAAGGTAGAGAAGAAACAGCCTCCCCAGCTTGGATGGGCTATAGCCCCAGGCTGCAAGGTGTACAGAGCATCCCAGGGCCAGGGTAGAGGAAGAGCAGACCCAGGGTGGCACAGGAGTAGGTTAGGGTCCCATGTCTCCTTTCTCAACCCTGGCTGAGAGATGGTCAGTGCTGACATGAAAATGGCCCATCAAAGAAATGCTGCTCCAAGTACCAAAGAACAGTTAGAAGCAAGAAGAGGCATCTGAACTTCCTTCCTGACTCCAGTTCTTACCTCTGGATACGGATGCTCTGATCTTGGTGGCCCTGAGTGGCTATCATCACGTCAGCTTCATCCAGAACAAACACCTTGATCCTTCTGGGGTCAATGAACCTGAGCTTGGAGCACCAGTCCAGGACGGTCCCTGGGGTACCAATGACAATCTGCTCACTGATCTTCTGACCTCTTTCCACTGTGGAGACGAGATGTTTTCTGTGGGTATTTCAAAGGCAAAGCCAGCTCTCCTCTCTGATATACCCTCAAACTCTTTGAATTTAATTCTAATGTCTTTTGCAGCACTGAGGACTGAACTCAATAACTTATACAGTTTAGGCAAGCACTCTACCACTGAGTTACATCTCCACAGTCATGTTGAAAATTTTTAAATTTGAGATAGGATCTTCCTGAGTTGCCCAGGGTGGACTTGCACTTGTGATCCTCCAGCTCAGCTCCTAGATAGGTGGGATTATAGGCATGTGCCACTGTGCCCTTCTGCATTAATATTTCAAGGGAAAATTAAGATATCACAACATTATTTAATGGACACATAGAGAAACATGACAAAAAAAAAACACTAAGGAGGATATAATAATAACATAAAAATATCTTCAGTGGCATTTTTTTTCTTTTTTCTTTTGTTTTTTTAGTGTTGGAGATTGAATCCAGGGCCTCACATATATTAGGCAAGTGCTCTACCCTGAACTTCATCCCCAGACCTTCAATGACATTCTATTCATTTTCTAGAATCATCCAAGTCTCTTTCAAGTATTTGATCTCTTTGTTTTTTAACTCTGTCAACATCTTTTTCCTTGCGGCTGGGGTTGTAGCTCAACGGTAGAGTGCTCACCTAGCACATGCGAGGCCCTGGGTTCCATCCTCAGCACCACATAAAAATAAATAAATAAAATAAAGGCATTGTGTCCAACTACACCTAAAAAACAAACAAATAAATAAATATGGGGGGGGCGACAAAAAACCACATCTTTTTCCTAGACCAGAGCTTCCTCATTAGTCTGAACTTTCAAAGAAAGTTCTTATCTTTCCTATGCACTCTGCCTTGTCAGCTATCTGGACATCTACTTCAAATAAGTCAGTTGCTTTTATGTTTCTCCTGCCTAAGTCAGTAAATAGGGTTTATTATACAAAGTTTTATCTTCTGAAAGACACACAAACACTCTTTCTGAGAAAGTATACTTCCCTAACTTGGCATGACAGATTATAGTGTACTTCTCATCCCTGTGGTTGAGAAGAATTTGGTTCTTCATTTTGAATTAGAAGGGACTTTGAGATTCACCTTTTAGTTCTTTTAAGAATTACAACCTTGCTAGGTACAATGGTATACACCTATAATCCTGAGTATTTGTGGGGGCTAAAGCAGGAGGATCAAAACTTTGAGGCCAGCTTTAGCAACTTAGCAAGACCCTCAGTAACTTGGCAAGACCTTGTCTCAAAATAAACAAAAAAGACTGGGGATATATTTCAGGGATAAAGCTCTATTGGGTTAAATCCCCAGTACACTCATGGATTCAATCCCAGTACAAAAAAATATCATTAGTTGTAAGTAAGTGAATTTAAAAGGATGAATATAGAGAAAAGAATAATAACAAGCCCCCAGAGTCAATTGCCATGAATATTTTAGATTTTGTGCTTCTAATAACATGAGAAAAAAAATCAGGAAATTAAAAAAATCCAGAATGTGAAACATTTTATAAGCAAGTGCTATGATCAACCTAACAGGTCAAATGTAATTGAGGGGGAAGGTATAGGGACAATTATACATTGAAAGAATCAAAGACATACAACAACCAAACTGCAACACATAAACACTGACTTAATTTTGTTAAAAAAAAAAAAAAAAAGCCATAAAGAAACAGTTTTAGGATAAATGGGAAAGAGTGAAAAATGGATATTAATTATCCCAGGGGATTTATTAGTTTTCTTGGTTGTAATAAGGACATCATGGATATGCAAAAATGTCCATATGAAAAGTACAATATCTCGGGGCTGGGGATGTGGCTCAAGCGGTGGCGCGCTTGCCTGGCATGCGTGCGGACCGGGTTCTATCCTCAGCACCACATACCAACAAAGATGTTGT